TGACAATGCGTTTATTCGCCTGACATTTCGACATCTGTCGCGGATTCATCATTAGAGACATGAGTAGGAAACAGTAACAGAAACGGGTGTTTCTGAATTACTACTGCTACTTCTGCTACTGTTACCTACTCATGTCTCTGATGATGAATCCGCGACGGACGTCGAAACGTCAGGCGAAATGTATTATCCCAGCGATCGAGTCTTCTTCTTCTTCTTCGTCGGTCACGTATTGCGGAATTGTGGGGGTTTGGTTTCTGTTGTGAACCCTATACTAGACTCTTACTCTTATATTCTGGCGAATTGTGTCGCATATCATCAGTTATGGTCGTAATTTCAAATCATTCTGAATGCAGCGCCGTCAAAAAGGGCCTTTCGGTTACCATGAAAACATTGTTTGATTTAGTATCAACAAAAGTCTCTGCAGCATTCACAACACAGTATGAAAATATTTCCTTTAAGGAAGCGAAAGTCCAGCAAAATTAGTTCTCCACTTAAAAAAGAATTGAAAAGCATAATTTCCGATAGATCCCAGATAGAATTCGAATCATCGGTAACCTGCAATCGTTATTTTAGGCTGATGAAGTTCATGCGTCAAAACGAGACGAATGAAGGCACGTGTACTCGAATGTGTCACGGATGCAAATACAATTACCACCACAGACACTGAACTGTGTTGGCAGACCGGGACGAGGAGTTTGATATTAAGGAAGAATTACGTCGGAAGCCAGGGCGAGAACCGATTTCCGAGAACGAAGAAAGATAAGTATCGTGCTAAAGCGTACGACAGATGAACAGAAATTAAACAAATAACGAAGTATGTAAACACAATGATGTGACGGGCACTTAGAATATGATCACAAAGCTGGTAGTACGTAGAAATATAACAACTTTCCGTTCTTCAAAGCAAGAGCTAATCCAGTTAGTATGTCGAGGTAAACGACATCCTGAAAATGCAGACATGCACAAGCAAGAGGAAAAAATGAATAACCATGGACTAAATATTTGGGTATATAAGGCATGGAAAGGTGAGGGTAAAGCATTCAATGAAAGAAGCAGAACCAAACATAGCCCCCAAATTGCTCCACATGGAAAGACCGATCGAGCCTGCCACCCTCAGAATAAGCCCTAGCTGTGAATCCTAACTGCAATGGAAGCTTCCTGTCTGCATACTAACGGAAACGACTTACCTGAAGAATATCCCCAATAATTAGCTGCTAAGACCTACCAGGAAAAAAAACATGAACTAACCCAAACCGCTTAAGTTTACAGTACATCCTAAGACATTACGCTAAATACGAATCCCAACGACAAAATAATACTAATAATGGTGACTGTTAACCTCTACCGACAAAGAAGGACATAAGAAGAAGATGCGATCACTGGGACAAGGGCTTTATTTTCCTGACGTTTCGGATTCCATCGGGAATCCTTAATCATAGGTG